GCAGAGGAAATCTGTATTATAAGAATTTTGCTAAAAATTACTGAAACTTGTCTAAAAAACAACTTAAAGAGATACAAGGAGATAGTCAAAATAAGGAAAAAAATCTTGAAATAATTTAACAAAAAAGAGAAGCAATGCTAGAGTCAGAATGTGAAACAATAGATTATAGTATAGAGAAAAACTACAACTTCTTTACAGAATATATAGCCCAAGCAAAAAAGAAGATATTAAACAGAAATAATAAAGAACCAAAAGTAGTTAGAGAAATCAAAGGAAAAGAGGATCAAGGTTCTAAAAGAGCCATTACCGAAACACAAAAGAAGAATAGTATAAATGCAAAGAAAGAAGAAAACAAAACAAGTAAAAATATAACAAAAGAAAGTAAAGAATTTAAAACAGAAAACTTTAGCAATACTTATACAATTTGGAACATACCTGCAGAAACAACACCAAGAAGACTCAAAAAAGAGTTAAGTTTCTTTGGAAGAACCATTATAATTAAGTAGAAAGGAAGATAAACAAGTAATGTAGCATATATACAAATTGCATTCAAGAATGAAAAAAAAAAAACAAGAGTAGAGGAATAAATGAGCAATATCTCTAGCAAACGGTAAACTCTTAAGAATAACAAGAGATAATTTTAAGAAAGAAGAGTTGCTAGAAAGAAATCAATACAAAGCAAGAATTACGAACATTCTAAGATATGCGATAAAAGCACTTTTGCTAAGACAGCTATTTAGAATTAAAGCAAAATCAGTTTTTTTGCCAAATAACAGTAATAGTAATCCAAGAAAAGTAGCAACAGTTTACATAAAAGCAAAGAAAAAAAAAGATATATTACTACAATACAAAACTCAATTGGTGTCAAGAAAAAGAAAAAAAAACAAAAGAGAGTTATAATCAAAGGCACTTTCATGAAGGGCTAGGTAATATAAAAAGAAATAGAAGTACAAGCTATACTGGAAAGTTAGCTGAAACAAAACAAAGTCACCTCCCAAACAATAATAGATTAAGAAAAAGAAGAAAGCACTCAAGACAAGAGTTCAGAAAAGAAGAAAGTAGAGGCAGAAATTATTCAAGAAAATCCTTAAATGTAAAAAAGCAGTGGTTGTCAAGTACAGATAAGAATGACAATGAAAGTATAAGAAACAAAATTAAGATTTTGAGTAGAATTGCAGAATTAGAGGAACTAGTTAAGAATCTGGCTAGGCCAGATCACTTCTAAAAATAGCCATAGGTATCTCTAGTGAAAAAAATAAACTCCCAGCATCTACTACAAAAAGAAGCAAGAAAGAAATAACCAAAATAGTACAAGAAGAAATACCCAAAGTTAAAGTAGCATGTCATAACATCAACAGAATTAAAAACAATAAGACCAAATTAAAGATGGTTTACAAGTGGGCAACAGAGAAGGAAATAGATATACTAGGATTAGTTGAAACTAATGTTAATGAAAAAGATACAAGATTCATACAAAAAGAAATATCATATAAAGGCTACTGGTCAAAAGATGAAATTACTAAAAGAAAAGGATCAGGTGTTAGTATATTAATCAACTCTAAATGAAAAAAATATTTGGGAAAGATTTCAAGGTTCAAAGAATATGTAATAGAGGCAAAGCTCTATTTTAAAAAGTTCGAATTAGCAGTTTTAGTACTCTATATTTCACTAAATAACAATAAAGTCAAAAAAGAAATGTAATGTAAAATAATTAGAAGTTATATAGAAAAATCAAATAATGCTCACTTTATAGTAATGGATAATTTTAATTATATTGTGGATAAGGAATTAGACAAAATAGGGCCAAGTGAGACATATAATATTAAAGCACTTAGTTTATATAAGTGGTTCCAAGCACAGGGCTTCGTAGATGTATTTAGAGTACTAAACCCGGGAGTTAAACATTTTACATAGCAGGGTCATGATTTAAAAACAAAAATTGATCAAATTTAGATTTTAGAAGATTTAAGTATAGGTTTAAAGAAAGCTAAAATTAAAGAAGCAGAATACATAACAGCAAGTGATTATAAAATTGTAATATCAACAATGCATCTTAAACAATAGATCAAAAAAATTAATCCCAGTTAATTTAAAGTCAAGAAGCCCAAGCAAATTAATCTATATATATGATAAAGCAAAAAAAAAAAAAACTAAGAAAGTTACAGAACAAACTTGGAGCATTATTTACTAAAAAACAATGAGTTAAACAGAGCACTTGGAGAAGTAACAGGTGATAATATCAATATAGTATAGAGAATTATCGCTAAAGGCATTAAGTATGTAGCAAAGAAAAACATTCCATCAAAACAAATCAAAATAGATACGCAGCAACAGACAAAGAAAAAAAAAAACTCAAAATTACATGAAGTTATAATACTATTAAGCAAAGTTATTAGCAAAGTTAAGAAGATATCTGCAAAAAAAGTAGAGTTAAATAGTAATGAAATCAACAAGAAAATTAGAGAAATTAAAGCAAAAGTGGCAAAGATATTGAGAAGATAACAAGTGATAAAGGCAATTAGTTAGATAAGTAGGTACAAAGAAGCAAGCTAATCTTGAAGATTCTTAAAAAAGAAGAACAAATACAAAGCAAAGAGCAAGAGTGAAGAGAGATCAAGATAGCAATAGATAAAAGGTGTATGAGAATAAATGGAGAAGTGAGCAAAATGTTAGCAAGTTTACTTAATAAGCAAAAGAGAAAAGTCAAGATTGATAAGGTCTTTATACAAGAGGAGAAAGGTAGTACCCTGATAAACAAGCCCAATGAAGTAAGAGAAGCAATGAGATTGTATTTTGAGAAGCAGTTCAAAAAAAGAATAATAGCTATAAGTAAGAAGACATATAGCGAATTTTATAAACCACTAGCTGAAGTTGATAAGAGCTGGTTGATAGCCTTACTGCAGATATATCAACAGAGGAATGGACTGAAGTTGTAGATAAAACTAAGCTCAAAACAGCACCAGGTGTATTCAAAATTAGTTATATTCTAATTAAAAGTCAAGCCCCAAAATGCAAGAAGTATTTAGAGCTTTCGCAAATATGTGCCTAGAAGGTAGCTATATTCTTGAAGATTGGAAAACAGCACAAGTATACCCAATATCAAAAGATGAAAGCTGGAACTTTGATCTTAATAATATAGCCAATCGTACTCTTAGAGATATTTAAAAAGTGCATAACCAAAATCTTAACTAAGCGAATTTCTAAGATTATAAAAGAAAAACATATCTTAAAGGGTTTGAATTTTGCAGAGTTACCAGGTTGCTCAACAGTCGATACAATAAACCTAGTTGATATGATTCTTGAAGAAGCTAAAGAAAATAGAAAAAAGCTGTAGATAGTTTTACAAGACATAAAAAAAGCCTACAACTTGGTCTCAATAACAATATTAAAGCTAGCACTGGAAAGAGTCAAACTACCAGAAAGAATAATTCAGCTAGTATTAGAACTTTTTGCAGAGAGAAGAGTTGGAGTAATAACAAGTTATAGGACAACAGATGAATTCATTGCAGAAGACAGAATCAAACAAGGAGAAACGATCTTACCACTAGTTTGGAAAATATTCTATGACCCACTTTTACAAAGAATTCAAGATAATTCAAGTTTTGGATACAAAATCCAAAGTAAAGAGATGCTAGATATAAGTACCAACTCTGTTAAATATGAGGAGGTTAGACAAGCTGCAGTTGCTTTTGCAGATGACACTATATAGATAGCCAAGAATAAAGACCAAATAGAGAAGATAATTGAGATTTTACAGAGATTCTTTGCTCTAAATGATATTAGTATCAATAGTAAAAAATCAAAACTATTTATGCTAAATTCAAGTAAAAGAAAAGAAGAAAACTATATAGAGATTAAAAATGATAGAATCATTGCAAAGAAGAAAAAAGCTATTACAAAGTTGCTCGGTATCTGGTTAAGCAGTTGTACAAGTGAAGTACAGATAGTAAAGAAAGCAAGAGCTATAGTTAAACATTATTACTATACTGCAAAAAAGCAACAATAAGTTAACTAGTATATATAAACAATATGTGTTTAGTGCCAAAATTAGCATATATACTATAAAATAGTAAACTATCACAAGCGATGCTGGATAAAATATACCAGCCCTTTATCAGACTAATTAAGAATAAAATAGGGCTAGCAGCATTAACAGGAAATTATATAATGACACATCAGGGTCTTGGTAAATGCAAAATGCCCAAACAAGAAGTTTTGTATTGCCAAGTAACAAATCTTCATGATAGGCTAAATAGTAATAACCAAGTAAGCAAGTTAACAAAGATAAGGATCATCAAGGTTTTTTACTAGCTGGTCTAATCAAAGGAAGGTGGGAGAAGTCAAGAAGTTCAAGCATTAAGAAGATTTAGAAAAACAACTTAGCATGCACAATCCTATTTAAAGTATGAGAGTTAGATATAACATTTAGCACAATAAATAAGCTGTAAAAGATCTATAGTTCCAGGCCAACAATTCATGAAATTATAGAAGATGAAGTATTTTATAAAGCATACAGAAGTATACAAAAGTACAACTTGTTTTTTATTAATCAGTTAATTGAAGCCAACGGTTACAGAGTTCTATTATGGAAAAAATTTCATGCATTGTGAGCAAAATCATTAAAAAGTTGTAAACCAAAATGGTTCAAAGCTATCGAGAACTATTTCAAAATAGACTAGAGCAGAATTATAAGAAAAATTTGAGCTCAGATTCAAGAACCAAATGCAATAGCAATAAAAGCTTATGCAAAAAAAGTATCAACTGATAAACAAAAGCATGAATAGGTTATAGTAAATAATAATAAAGAAGAAGTCTTATTAGTAGGTAAAGTTAAGAGGAAAAAGAAAAACAAATTTCTGATTGAACATTGGAAATTAGAGAAAAACACTGAAAATGAGAAGCCAACTCTAGATAGATATAAAAACTGTAAAAGAAAGCATAAAAAAAACTTAGAGTGTGAGTTCTGGGTGGAAAAAAAGAATATACTAGGGTCAATTCAGACAACAAATCAAGAGACAGGCTCTAAAAAACCAGCACTAATCGAAGAAATAGTTGGGTACAGAAAAGTGGCAGATAAAGAAAAAAAAGATGAAAGAGAACAAGAGCTGATTTTAATAGAATTAGAAGAACATATAAAGAGTTTCATAAGATGGTATGGTTTTGACAGAGCACTAGAAAAGATACTAGAAGAGCAGAATGAAACAAACATTAGCTGCAAATGAAAGAACTATATATTCTACACTGATAGGTCTTTAGCCCAAATAGATAGAAAGAATATAATGAGAGCAAGTTGGGTACAGGTCAATGAAGAGGAGGATTTTCAAATAGTTGAAGGGAAAGTTAGATTTAAGAGTTGGCCTTCATCAACAAAGGCAGAATTGGTCATAGTTTGGTTGGCTCTGTTAATAGTAACTAGCAATAGTAGAGTAGTAATTAATTTAGATAGTGAAGCTGCAATTACAAGTTTATAGTATGATGAGTGGTTAGATAATACAAAAAAGTAGAGTAGAAGAAAAAACTACAACTAGTTTTGTTGATTAAAGATTTGTGCAAGTCAAAATATATTTCATTGGATCTGGTTAAGGTCAAGGCTCATAGTGAAGTAAGATGGAATGAAAGAGCATATGTATTAGCAAAAGAAGAAACAAGATTAAATATTTGCTCAAATCTTAAAAGAAAGCTAATCAAAATGCTAATGAACATAAGGGTAGGAGCTAAATGGAGAATGTCAAGTACAGTACAATTTCTCGAATATGACCAAGAAGCAAGGCACAACTAGAAGTTATTCTGGCAACAAAATTAAAAAAATAACAGGTATCAAGTACAAGTTATTAGAAGCAAGTAAACGGTTTACTTTCAGATTAAAATATCTATGCAAAGAATTACTAGTAATGACAGTTCTGAAGAAAAAGAGGCCAGAAGTTTATAATACAAGTATATGCTGTGTTTGCAAAAATGAAAAAGAAACAGTCGAACACTTAACGGTGTATAAAGCATACAAAGGCTATTAGGTTAATATTGAAAATATTACAAGTAAACTAGCATGAAAGGTTTTGGACAATATGACCAAAAAGAAGCTAGCAAAAGACACCTTTATAAATAGCTTGTATGGAAATAAAACCAATATATATAGAAGATATCTAAATTATATAAGTAGTCTATAGAGTGTAGACATGTTAGAAAAGCTTGGAAAAGTAGATCTAACACAATCTAAAGCAGGCAGAGCTATTAAAATTTTTGTTAAATTTATAGAAGGTTTCTATAAAAAAATCTGGTCTCATCATTGTCAAATAACAAGCAAATGGGAAAAAGAAAAAAGGATTACTACTATGGAGAAAAAGTCATACTCTAGGAAAAAAGAAAACTCCAAGGCAGATAAAGCAAGTTTACAAGAAAAGAGAACAAGGAAGCAAAACGAAGCAGATAGCAAAAAGGCACAGATCTTAGAATATAGGACAGAGATCAAAAGGCTTTATAAAAAAGATGTAAAAGGAGTAATATATAGAGAGTCAATACCCTTTTAGTTTAGTTCTTAAAGAGCTAATCAAAATTCTAAGTCATCTATAAATCAGTGCAACAGTCGTATCTAGGTATCTAGAGGTAGTTAGGTAAGATCAGGCTTGTAGTTGCAGCTTTGTTGGTATCAACTAGAATTAGTCTTTTTAATTAATTTGTAAACTGTACATAAGTTCTAACAAGATCATCTAAGAATAAAAAAAAAAAAATTATAATTGTTTTTTATTAATTTATTTTTATTTTTTTAAAAAATAGTAAAAAAAAGATTGTTTATAAAAAGCAGAATAATAGAATGTGGTAGAAAACTATCCAAAATACTTTGTCTATAGTGACAAAAATTTTATCAATCATATTATATTCAGATGCTACAAATTGTAACAAATTAAGTAAAAGTCAGCTTCACCTAATTTATATATCACTAGAAAATATACCTACATGGCAAAGAAATAAGCAGAATACAAAGCAGTTATTAGGTTATTTGCTAATAATCAAAACATTTACTAAAAATAAACTAATAGTTAGACAAACTTTTTACAAGTGTTTAGAGATTATATTAGATCCAATTTGAAAGCTTTCGCATTCGGGTATAAATTTGTTAATTAATAACAAATTAGTCTGGTTTTTTCTAAAAGTATCTACTATAATTGCAAATTGGCCTAAAGCTACAACATTTTGTTTGACTTATAAGTTAACTAATTCAAATTATCCTTGCCATTTCTGTTTGATAGAAAGAGAAAATTTAGCAAAAACAGACTGTTCTAAACATGATTTGGTACTTAAAAATCATGTAAATATGCTAAACTATTTTAATAATGATGAAGAAAATTCAGTATGTATAGAATCCATACCAAATTTCTTTTGGAACTTTAAATAAGTTTATTTTATTTTATTTTAATAATTTTAAATAAATTTAAATATATTTAGTATAAAAATATATTTAAATAATCAATCGAATATATTAAATTAATTTAAATTAATTCGAAACAATTCAGATTATTTTAAGTTAATTTGATATGATTCTAAATAATTTAACTTTATATGATTTAATTCTATATAATTTGAAACAATTCGATTTATTTTAAAATTTATTAAATAAAATAAATATAATTTTCAATATAATATTCATTATTAATATTTAACTTTTTATTAATTTTAGTAATATAAATATTTATGAAGCTACAGTAATTGATAGAATGCATCATTTAGATTTGGGATTATTTAAATACCAAATTATATTTACAAGCTTTCTTTTAAAAGAGAAATATGGTGCATCTATTCTTGATATTATTGATAATCGATTAGCTAATATTCCAAGATTTCCAGAACTTAAGATTTTTAAAAAT